TCGAACCCCTACAACTACTCCCTAGATCACATTGCCGGGTAGGGACAGAGAGAGGCGATGCCCAAGAGGGAACTTGCTAAGGAAGAGTTCCAGTGAAAATTATACGCCGTAGGATCGATGGTTGATGGTTGATGGATCGTAGATGAGTGTAAGTGAGATGAAAATAAGGAGGTAGTGTACCGCAGAGGTAATCACCTCTGAAAGGAGAGTAGGCAGGAAGACATGTGTAAAAGGCAGACCTTTAGCAGGAAAGGAGTCGTTGAACGGCAGCTAGCTGCCTTGCCCCACACAAAGCCTCAAACTTCTTGCCTGCGGATCCTTTCCTATTGCTGCACCCTAACTGAGTGCTCATGAGACGAACCTCAGGTTCTTGAACCACGCCGGTTCCAGGGTAGGTTGCCGGTTTCATGCTCAAATAGCCAGGTTCCTTTCCGAGTGTGGGCCCTATCCGAAGCTCTCCCTGCCACCCGACCCAATGGTGGATTTTCTCCATTTTTACCGTTATTACAACCTCTCCTAATCTTACTGAGTGTTGATCGTGTTGATAAACGATCGAACTACTTCGTGACGTCTCGCGAACGTGATAATAGCCTCGCAGCCATCAGATGTGACGTCTAAGTCTTTGACGCAGGGATATTACAGCTTTCAAAGGGCGCATTGTTTCACAGAGATACTCAGCACTGCAGACTTGGCATATAATTAATACAGAGTACTTCGCACCCAAACTGGAATACATTTGAAAGAGGCTTCAAAAATTCGCCACTACAACGCCTCTGGAAATTCATCCAATTCAGTGTCAGGATTACAGCGATGCTACATTTTCCGCAGCCGCTTCGACACTAGGAAAGAACCGCCTCGCAGAGATCAGCTGTTCCAGAATTTAAGAGGAAAGAAGTGAGCATCTAGAATTAACCCGTGACCTTGCACCCTTTCTCGATTTTTGCGCATTTGAAATTTCAGTGAAGTGCCGAAGGATAGAGGCTACGAAATTTCATTTCGGATGGTCAATATGTCTCTGAGGCAACTATGATCAAGGTGAGCTATGCAGCACTCTGCTCTGTTTGGGTCCAGGATGATTTTGTGGTTTAGAGAGAGCTTTTGAATCTTGCCTGGCTTTATGTGAGACTTGGTCTTCAGGTTCTCAAATTCTCAAACGGTTCTCCAATTTCAGGTTCCAAAAATGGCGGAAAGATCGAATCATCAGCTCACTAAGTTTTGTAGTTTTGGATAGGCTCAGACCAACACGGTCGAGAGACACGAGATAGTTTATTCTATCATTTTTTTCAGAGCGAAGCAGCGCATCAGAATGGTGGACAACGAAAGACAGCAAGGGTTTCTTGGCGATTGAGCATTGCGTATTTCTAACAGATGCTCCTCTAATGGCTAGTTCTCCTCCGATGGTCTGGTTCTGCAGGAAGAGTAGGATAGGTGTTGCGCGAATTGAAGGGCCAGGAGTCAGAGTGCCTCAAACATCGTAGTCGATAGCAATCTCAGGTGTTCGATGCCTCTCACAGACACAGCTTTTGTTGGTTGCATTTCACAATGCTTCTCTATCATTGCAGCTTCAAAAAATTGACCATAGTCCCTTGAATCCCATCTATTCCAAATCACTGGTAGGTTTTCACTTGTGCCCTATGGCGCCCGTATTATGAAAGTATACCCAGCAACTAGTCAAACGACCGCAACTCGAATCATTCGTGCTAATCTTATTTCGTATCACGAGGGAACTAAGTCGATTTCGGAAAGGAAACAAACGTACTCTATCCGGCCCTGTTGAGTTGAGACAGACATCTGGACACGATGGGCACGGTTGATAGCACTTTCCGACGATCTTGACACAGTGATCATCTTAATCAGTGGATGAAGATGAGAGAATGTACACCAACAATGCTTACTGAGGCTTACCGAAACACCCGATTGGTGGTGTATATTGCAAGTAAACCAAATAAGTCTGTTGGCTACTGTACATTTGAAGCAGCTGATAGGCCAAGAGGACCAGTATATCTACACGAAGCTTGCCTGGAATTTGATTCGAGAATAAGGAATGCTACTTCTGACTGCATGATTATTACCGAAGAAAACCATGGTCTCGTCCAACACTTAACCAAAAAACGTATGATTCACTGGCAGCTATCCTACTTTATATAATTGGCTAAGTGTGTCTGTTGGTGTGTCGGTGTGTTTGTGTGTGTGTTTGTGTGTCGGTGTGTGTGTCTGATCGGAAATTCATAACTCCTGTCNGCATGGGAACACTTATGACAGGTGGTAAGAGCAGACTCCATGCACAGGGAGCGGGGTGTGCGCGATAGTAATTTTTGGCCGCAAATTCATAACTCCTGCTTACGTGGACCTAGAGCGTTCAAATTTGGTAGGACCACACTTTTCGTCGTATTACCAGTGGAGTTACCAGTTCTTACTATTAGATTACGACCGCTACCCAGCAAGGTTTGTGATTCAATGAAGGATTCTCTCTCCTCGATGTCGCTTGCGACAAAACTTATTCGACCGCCTGTAATTTAGAATTCTCTACAAATGATATCTCCGTAAAGAAAAGGGTCAATTGATAAAAAATATCTGATAACGGTGCTATCATTACTCAGAACATCTCCACACTTCATCTTTGATTGTCTAACAATTGGTTTTTTGATGGGTATTTATTTCTAAGAAAGGGAGCAAAAGTTCGAGACTTCCAATCGAAGGCGTAAGCACCGACTTTAACTGGATACCATTTGCACTGCCCTGTTAGTCCTGTGTCAAATTTCGTGTACAGGAAACTGCTATTTGCTCCAAAAAAGGAGTGGAGAATTAGACTTACTACAACTATCAAAGAAAGAAGGAAGCTTTCGATTTCTGTTAAGTCAAAGAAGGATTTCGAGCTCTGTTTCAGTTTCAAACCCTCACTGAGATAAACACGGAAAAAACTTAAAGACTATAAACTTTGAAAAAGGAAATAAAGTTCTTCTGTTCAACATTACTCGGGATAGGGTGCTTGACACAAGAAGGAGGAGAGCCTGGCGTTAGCGATCCGACTGGTCGGTAAAATATGACTTTTCTTACCGAGACGACTGATAACTATGCCTTGCTTATCTCTCCCTTTTTAGACGAGTACTTAATGTTAGTCAATCGACTCGGTGTGGCTTTCCCGAAGTGATTTTGGGTTGTTGTCGTAGTTTGCTGACTACTGATCATGGACATACATATCCAAACATACACATGCAAACATCTTCTTCTCCCTGGCGTTAACACCGCGCTTCACAGGTCCGCTATTCTTGTCAACCGCCTCCTTTTACTTCTACCTATGGCATCCTCTGCCCTCACTTTGGCTTCGGCGAGCTCCAACTTTACACGTCCCACCACCTCTTCTTTGGGGCTCCTCGTGGTCGCTTCCCTTGAGCCTCGATTTCCATTGCCTCCCTTATTGGATGTTTCGGTGGTCTTCTCATTCTCCGTGCCATCGCAGGCGCTGTTTTCTTATCTTTAAATGTACAGGGGCTACTTGTTTGCGCTCTCACGTCCTCGTTTCTGATCCGGTCCAGTCGCGTCCAGCCGCAGGCCCACTTGGGCATCCTTATCTCAGCGGAGCGGAGCTGTCTTTCATGATTCTCACCTACAGGCCAGCATTTACTGCCGTTAGATTATTGCGGGCCCATCATTGTCCTTTACACCTTTCTTTCGAGGGTCTTCGAGCAGCGACGGTAGCAGGGAATCCAGTGGACCCCCTCCATCTCACCTGTGCCGCGTTTGTTCGGGATTTCATAGCCTGGTTCAGACCACCATTCGCGGCTACATTGCTCCCCAAGTGTAGAAAGTCCTGCACCTTCCCGGTGACTTCCCCGGAACGTACGATTGACCCCATGCACTCCTCGGAATTGAAGGACTTGATCTTCTTCATGTTTAGCCGGAGAACATTATCCGCACTTTCTTGCATTTCTGTAGCTTCTACTGGAGTTCTTCTGTGCTCTCCATTATCAAAGCGATGTCATCAACGTAAAGAATATTTTTCAGTTGTCCATCCACGAGCCCGCTTTTGATGGCATCCAGTGTCAGTAGGGAAGGAATGGGTTCAGAGCTGATCCCTGGTGTACTTCAACCGTGACGTCTATCGCTTCGGTCAGACCGTGTGGAGTGCGTAGTGCTGTCGTAGACTGACCGTACATGTCTCTGACTAAAAAAAATCAGGTGATCTGGAACGTTCCGCTCTCAAAGCGCTCTCCAGAGAACCTGTAGCGGGAGACGATCTAAGGCCTTCTCCAGATCGAGGAAACTCAGGTAGCAAGGTCTAGGCTTCTATATATACTTCTCCATTACTTGTCTGGCTATGAAGATAGCATCCGTTGTAGACTGGCATAAAGCCGATTTGCTCTCGTGAGATTTGGACGAGTTACATCAATACTGAGTCGAAGAGTCGCTCGTACAGTTTCATTATGTGAGCGATCAGCCTGATCACCGTCGCGTCCTCCTTCTGCTGGAATATGAGCATGATGGTTTTGCTCCTCCAGACATCTAGGATTCTTCCTCCAGTGGTCACAGTGTCGAGGAATCGGGTGTGCCACTTAATCCCGCGTTCTCCAAGCGCCTTCGATGCCTCGATGAGGGCCCCATAGAACCAGTTGCTTTTCCAGTTTTCATTTTTCCGATTGCCTTAAATACCTCGTCCTCTGCCCACAGTTCGATGGAGCCAGCCATTGCCTCTAACTGGGAGCTGTACTCATTCTTCGTTCAAAAGCGTGTCGAAGTATCCTTTCCATCTACGCCTGACCTCCACAGGCTCCCTTAGGATTGCACCTTCCGTGTTCCTAACCGACTTCACCACCCCGATGTCCTGAGTAGCCCGGTGCCGCATTTTCGCCAGTAGGAAGACGAACTTCGCTCCTCCAGTTCCTCATACAAGGCGTTTATTTCCGCTTTCTTTGCTTTCACCACGGCTGCCTTGATGAGTCTTTTTTATGTTTTCAGGCAGCCAAGTCTCTTGAACCGCTTGTAGGCGGCTTTCTTCTGCCTCACGACTTGCTGTACTTCATAGTTCCAAAACGTGCTTCCTTGTCTTGTGGTAATCCACCTCGGATCTCTCCCAGCGTTTCTCTAGCAACTATAAGATGACTTAGAATATACACGGTATTGCTCCAGGTCAGGTGAATGGGCCCTTCAGGATTAGGAAGACCGGCTACCAGAATTTTCCGTTCACGTTCCTTTTTTCGGCTTGGTCAGCCTACCATTGGATCCATCACGCCGTTCTTACCCTTGATTCTTTGGCTCTGGCATCCTGATTTATATGGCTGTGTCTGCTGTCTGTCTCTAGAGGACGTGTGTGCTGCGAAGCCAATTCTTCACCAAGTGGTACCTTAATGTATTTGACAGCATTTGAAGACGATCTTCTTACGAGCACATGATCTCTTTCCGTTTCTTTCCCTCCACCGTTGTAGCTTACCTCCTGAGTCTTCTATTCGCGCAGAAGGTACTACAGACTGCCAAGTCATGAGCTAAAGCCAGGTCGAGGACCCTCTTTCCTTCTTCGTTTTTAATTCCTGTTACCTTGCCTAAAGGTACCCTGTCCAGTCTTCTCCTTTCACTGCCCACGTGCCCATTCAGATCACCTCCTATGGTGAGTTACCCCCTCTCCGAACCGATCTGATGATATCGTCCAGGCTCAGATAAAGCTCATCTTTTTCAGGTTCGGAGCAGCCGGCTTGTGGTGGATACACGGATATTATTGTCCAGTACCCTTTTTTCGATACACATGTATACATTTACCAAGGAAAGTTCGGGACGGGTCGCCGATTACGTTTTTCTTCATTGCTGCAACAAAGTTGGAATGCTGCATGCTGACTGTTTATGCACGGCATTGCTTCCGTTAGTAAAAGTGATGCCACTCACATATATCAGGTAACTTTTTCCCTAGACGAAAGCATAGTTTCGTATCAAAAATGGGGAGTTCGGCATTGGCGGTTTCGCCTATCTTATCATCTTCTGTTATCGACCGTCTATGATCTCGATTCAGCCATAGTACGGGAGACAAGATACTAAGTTTCCGCTGCTAAGATGATGGTCGTAAGGTATCCAAGCAACCCTCGGTTCAGAAACTAATAGTAAGTTTTTATCAATTGTTTTCAACCTCTGCCATGGATCCGCCGTGACCGTTCATTGGCATGATCCAATAAATCCATGATCTGTGACTCTTTTGGATCCTCATCAGTTGCTATCATCTCTTACCATTTACCTTTAGGTATCCACCCGTCATTTGTATCTTTTCCGAGTTCCCAAACCAGCGGGAGTCATGAATCCTGGTCAAGCTCACAACATCTTTACTTGAATAATCGAAAACCAAGCAAGCAAACAAACAAACACACTTGACGAGTTCCAAACAGTAGGGTGCAATGGCTTCTCTACTTTTTGGTAGGGAGAGGGCTACAGAATACGATAGGAAGCCTCATTTGGAGAGAACTATGAGTGCGGTCATGGATTGCAGCTAAAGGGCTTGTTCACAGATTGTGCCTGCATGCATTTCTGACAACATGATCATGACAGCGTTACGATGCTGGATGCTCAGAAAACTTCTTAAAGCAGCGGAGATGGAGAGCAGCGACGGCTCTTACCTGTAACAGCTCAAAGAATCCAGTCACGTGCGATGGTGGGGTAATGGAGATAGCGCTCATTTAGCATCTATCTCTCTTTCTCTCTTTCTTATTTATCCTACTTATATAATCGGCTAAGCGTGTCTGTTGGTGTGCTTGTGTGTGTTAAAGTATGTGAGTGTTTGTCCCACCGGGAATTCATTCCCCCGGCCCCACTGTAGCTAAAGCATTCAAATTTGAAAGAGAGATAGACGGCGGGATGGCAACACTGATGCTAGGTGACTGGATGTGACAACTTTCAATAGAAACTGATAAGGTGCCCCAAAAGGCAAAAGCCTTAGTGTTCGTAACTCCCTTCGTATTAGCGGTGGAGCCTTCGCACTTCGGCAAGTGGTGTAGGATGTGAAGGGACCGTTAGGGGTTGGTGACACAGAATGATAACAAGTGATAGTGACTGATGAGAAGCCACAGAATGCGAGAGAAACTAGATCTGTAACGCACATTTTGTTAATAATGGGATCTTGAAATTTTAATAGGTTATGTGAGTATGTGAGATGTGACAGGATCGTAGGTACTCGGTGACGGGATCGAGGACGGTTGGTGCCAGGCCAGGAGCTGATAAAACTGTTAAGGACTAATGAAAGTCCTAGAAAGCATAGAGCCTCTATAATAATGGCAATAATACGCTGCCTTTCAAAAAAATGTGCACGCCCAACATTTTGCTTTTTTTCCTGGGATACCATTGTTTTTCGTAACCTGTGACCTTTACCATTCAATTCCTTGTGTGCGATTACGAACACTTTCTTTGAGAAATCGTAGCTGCTGACACAATTTTTTATTAAAGAAAAATTTTTCTTTGTTTCAAAAGTATGCGCACACTTAGCAGAAATCAAAAATATAACCGAGATCAGAAATCAGTAGGGTGGAGTTTCTAGAATCCAGTGAAGGTTATCGACTAAGAGGAATCTTTTGAGAATGGTTTCGTTACGGTAGGTTCTCTAATCACCTTTGAAATGAAGAACTTTGAGTGGGCGCATACTTTTGAAACTTCAACTAGGCCGCTCTTTTTCATGCATCGCTAGATTCATTCGCGACCCTGGCAGCTATTGCTTGCAACCTATTCCTGGCCGTCCACGTATTTTGATAGCTTAGGACAACAGGAGAATAGCTCGTCTTGTGGCGAATACTTTTTTGTCTGTGAGTCAGATCCGCTCTGATGTGTTTAGCAGTCTCGCGTACGACCGTTTGGCGCTCTATCCGCTCTAATGAGTATACCACACGAGAGACGATGTAGAAGGCTGCTCGATTCAGCACACGCCACACGGCTGGAGTTTGCTCGTCCAGATCATCATAGAGCCTCCTCCGAAATTCCTTCTCGAAAACACGGGTCTTTCTTGGCGAAGGTCCCCATAGTAATGATGAAATCCATCCGGCCCATCGATATTGTACTTCTTTTCATCAGAAAAGATCACCTAGGAACAAAATGGGTACAACGCATTGTTTGTTCTAAAAATAGGGGAATCCTGAAAATTCTTGAACAACCGTACCTTGTGCCATGATGTTGCCATGTTCCTACGAGCAAACTCCAGCCTTGACAGCTTGTGGCGAGTACTGAGACGAGTAGTCTTTTTCATCGTCTCTCGTGTGATATACTCATCAAAGCGCCAAATGGTCGTACGCCAGACTGATAAACCCATTTGAGCTCGGATCTGGCTCACAGACAAAGAGGTATTCGCCACAAGACGTGCTATTCTCCTGTTGCCCTGAACAGTCAAAATACGTGGACGGCCAGTAGGTTGTGAGCGACAGCTGCCAGGGTTTTGAATGAATCTAGCAATGCATGAAAAAGAGCGGCCCAGTTGAAGTTTTAAAAGTATGTACACATTCAAAATTTTTCATTTCAGAAGTAACTAAAGAACCTACCGTAATGAAACCATTCTCAACCGATTCCCCGCAGTCAATAATCTTTACAGAAGTTTAGGGGGACTCATTGATTTCTGATCTCGGCTATATTTTTGTTTTTTTTTTTTGCTATGTGTGCACATACTTTTAAAACGAAGAAAAATTTTTCTCTAATAAAAAATTGTGTTAGCAGCTACGGTGTTTTCTAAGAGAAAGTGTTCGTAGGTTATGGCATACAAGAAATTGAATAGTAAAGGTCAAAGTTCACAGGAAGCAATGGTATCCCCAAAAAAACAAGGGGTGCGCACATACTTTTAAAACGCACTGTAGTGGAGCAGTTTGTTGACAGTTTGGCATGTGATGTGGAGTATGGCGAGATTGTAGACGACCGATGATAGGAACTGATAACGTCTGATAACGACTGATAAGAGCACTTACCAAGCGAATCTACTTCTGTGGTATTTACGATGTAATTATGATTACGACTATTATATAGATTACGACGGCTACCCAGCAAGGTTTGTAACTCGGTGGAAGATCAAGGTTACTTTATGTTTTGATATTTACGACAAAACTCATCCGACCGCCAATAATTTGGGATCCTCAACTAATGAAGTACCCGTGGAGGAAAGAGGGTCAGATGATAACGGCACCTGATAATGGTGTTATTATCACTTGAGAACATTTGTAAGTACTACTCAATTCTTTGGTTGCCTGTCAGTTAAACCATCAGTGGTCCATAATTTTCAAAATGAGAGCAACCGATTGACACTTTTAATCGTAGGCGTAAGCATCGACACACCCTAAATACCACTGGCGCTGCTCTGCTTATGCCAGCTCCCCTCTATTTGGGTCTTATGTCAAAGTTGTGTAGGGTGTGTCGGATTTCGTGTTCAGGAAAGCATCATTCGTTCCAAAGATTGAAGGGGGAGGACGGTTGCTGCTTACTAGAACTTAAACATGGAAGAAAGTCCGGCGTCAGCCGGGCGGTTCGACCGTTTCTATATATAAAGCGGTAATTTTGTGTCTCTGTTGTGCGTCCTTCCTAAAGCCACGTAGGCACAAACAGTTATGAAATGGGAAGTCAACCGATACTGTTCATATTGGTCCTTCAACAAGTCGTACTTGAGCGGTAGCGGTCATGCGGTGCACGCATTAGCGTGCGTAGCCCAACTGGTACCTTATAAAGCAGTAACCTGGTTTGTCGCTTTGTCGGTCTGTCCGTCCGGGGACCTTTGTGATCATGATAAAGGTAGTGATCTGGAAAACGCAGACCTATCCTACCTTCTTGAAGCAGTAATTTGGTGGGTAGGTTAATGGAGTAGAGTGTGTGCTGCGGAGCGGAGTGAAGTGAGTGATGTGGAAGGGAAGTAGGTGGGTCATTCAATTGAATATACAGCTCATGCCTCATCTTAGCTTTTTGCCCGAAGTAATCACCCCTACCACGGCGCTCCTCTCCTTCTCAGGCTTAGGTAAAAACTATATTCTTCTGCTCAGAACCACTCAAAGCACAGGCAAGGTCGGCTACCACTTCTTCTCTGCACTCATAGTGAAGAATTAAAGCATTGATAACTGACTTGCGAGTTGTGACTACCACATATATACACCAGCTGGGATATGCATACTTATGCATGCATTGCATGTCCACGACCGCTCATCCTTAGGCTTTAAACTCTTGCAGGTACTTTATCAGGTAATATAGAATTTTCGCGTAAACAACAGACGCGAACGCTATGTTTGTAGTAAGTATCATTGCTTCCCAGTTTGACTATCCTTTCACGATTGCTCCGATAGAACTCCCAGTAAGCAAAGAGAGAAAGAAGAGCAAGAGGTCCAACTTCCAAGAAGCAGTCCTTCTTTGCGAAGCAAGTTGCGTACGAACACCACAGTCAAGGACGATTAAACGATGTTTTCACGCAGTGGAAGTCTTCAACGTTCAAGATGCTGTAAGCGTTTCTGCCAGAACTGCAAATTTAACCCATCAGCTACGTAATCTCTTCCATTACATGGCATCATTCTTAGCTATTGTTTTCTTAGCACGCAAGAACAAACATTTCATACCTGCCACCACAAGTATTGCTTTATTTCAAACTTCGACGTACCGGGAGGGATAACCATTGGATGATCTTAGATAGAAATATCGAAGAATTGTTCTGTTGATTAAGAATGCAACTGATGACCTCACTATGTAGTTGGGCTTATATATCTTGCGGATGTAATGGAAACATTGATAGCGATTGTTTAATGGACTAACATTAAACTATCCTACTATA